TCTCCGGCGTGTTTATCCTCTCTTATATTTCTTTGGGGAAATTGGACAAGACTTACTGCGTACGCTTTCTAAAGAAATTCATACTCTGCTTTAAATAGTTAATTACTCTCGCCGTGTCTCCGGCGGTGTCTGGCTGTGGATGGGGGGAGAGAAGGAGACGCTTCTGTCTGTCTCCCTTTCTTTTTTTCCAGTAGGGGCAGGCCTATATATTTTGCAGCTCATGTCTGAAAGGCTGGCTCCAAGCGCTAGGGGTGGGCTCTCGCTCTCTGATGGTTTTCCAGTGAGTATTTGTCAGGTCAGACTGTGCACCGCCCGGCGGTCTCCGCTCCTCTCCCCGGGTTATTTATTACCTCTCTCCCCCGCCGGCAGCGCTGCGGCTCCGGGGCTGCTGCCAACAACGGCGCAGAGGCGGGGGCCGTGTTAGGGGGGTTCCCGTCGGACGAATAGAGGAAGGAACATGCATTAAATGCGTTTTGAGGAAGGACAGAATTTGTATCTCATTACATGGCAAAGTAACCGTCCTCGACATTTTCAGTAAACATCCATTATGGTTTGCAGAATTAGGACTGATCTCACTAAGTCCATTGACGGGTGTTTGGTTTAGAGATATACCTTTCTTTCTTTGTTTTTTTTTAACTAGTCAAACGCTGTAGAGCTGGAATTCACAACATTCAACACATTATCTCATACTATCACCTTTAATGATAAGATAATTAGTTGATTGAGTTGTAGATCAACAGATAATTAATTGCCAACACTTTAAATCCATGATTAATAATTTAAGTCACTTATCAATGAGCGTGCCAAACATTCACAGGTTCCATCTTTTCCAATGGAAGGATTTGCTGCTTTTCTCTCTCTTATATCATTATAGATCAAATATCTAGACATTTTACAAGGTAAACAGTTAGCAGCAAGAAATAAGTGAAATAAATTATGAAAATAATCATTAGTTGTGAGTTAATCACCATAGTCTGCCACATACCATGATAATGCTGATTGATAATAAAACCATCCACGCAAATCTTCAATATTACTGCATCTACGTGACATACTATAATTACATACTGTAAAGGGAAATGTCATTCCAACAGGCAAATTTTGTATTATTTAATCATGTATTATTTTTATCAACTGATTTTTGTATCATTTTCAGTTTCAGTGACTTTTATAAACAGCTGACAGCAACCCTGTGCACATGTAGACAGTATTAACAGACGGATGAGAACGTACCACAGTGCAGAAATTGTATTTGAGATTTGTCTAATACATTTACAGCAGTATGAGAGCTGTCATTTCAAAGTCATACATACAGTTTGAATGTATGTATATATGTAGGAAACTCCACAACAGTATTGTGATACTGGTGACAGTGTGATATTAGAAGGGTCATGATCTCTCTCAATATGAATTATATTGTCCACCTGAAAAGAAAAAATCCATCCTTGGTGGTAGATGAGCTCCTGTGGGTATCTAGTCATGAAATTTGGCTAACGCCTCAGTTTAAGATGTTGATGGTTTTGGTGTCAGACCCTGAGAATATATGAGTTAGGAGGAGATACCAGCGTCTCCAGAGTAGCTCGTATTGTTGCATTTTGAGTAACAGGCTCACGTTGTTGTCACTTGACTGGAATAAGTCATTCTGCTACAGCTGTCACTCCTCCTCGTGTATATTTGAAACCTACAGCTGCGTACAGAGTCAACCTCTGTGGAAATTGTTCAGAGGCTTCCTGGGAAACAAAAGGAGATCACTGACTAAAGAAGTTAGCAACAGAAAGTACATTATATCACTGCAGAAAATAAAACTCATTTCAGATTATCAGAGTATGAGATGCACTTTTTCTTGTGGCATTCATCAGTTCTGCAGTGAAATGTAAAATCACACCTATTAAAAAGTCATCATCAGATTAAATATATTATTGCTAGATTATCAGATCCATGCTTCACCGAAGTCTTGGATTAGAATTAAAATCTCTTTCAACTGTTCCATGTGAGAAGAGATCAGCAATATAAACAGAAGTAACTGTTTACTGTAATATGATATTGGGATTTCCTAATTCATTGTAAATTCATGGGCTGTAAAGAGCAGGTGTGGGTTTTTGTGTGACTTTTTGTGTGACTTTTTTTTTTTTTCTGCACAGGACTCCTATACACTGTAGTAAAAGTAAGAAAAGGTTATGGGAGGTAGAAAGGTTAAACAAGGTTTCCCCATCATATCAAGCATTTTTATAAAAAAAAGACAAAGACTGATGGAAAAATCGACTCAGTTAACACGAACCAACTTTTGAAGATGTGAAAGTTGAAGTTTCGTCACTGTACAAGTTTGGGGAACCCCTCCGTGATGAGCCACCGAGCATGAGTCACAATCAGGGACAGGGCGTGGGTGTAGGAGTGGGCACGGGTGTCCCCTTTATGACTAGTTTCATCAGGGCTCTCCCGATGGTGCAACCTCCAGCGCCCACGCATGCATCAACAAGGTTTCCATCGAGACATTTCGATGTGGCAAGGGCTGGTTAGATAAAGACACAATCAAAGAGCTTCTCATCTGAAATGCAGTGTTCCACTTCCTAGAAACGGCTTTGTAAACACACACCATAAATGTCAGCAGCTCATGATTTATGTCAGTGCTACTGTTCAGTGTACTCTCCAACATATGGGAAGTGACATTATTGTTTAGTTGAAAAATGTTGCCTTTCGATTTCATTTTTCAGGCTGTGTTCACTGTAAAGGTAACAGGTAACTTTTGAAGAGGTGATGTCAGGTCACCATTTTTTTTTTTTCTTTTCTTAAGCTGTGATTTTAAAATCTGTTTTTGTCTCTTCCTGATCCACAAACCCACTATTTCCATTACCTTCAGTCATCACAGCTCCTCAGCTCCAAAAGGAAAAATGTCAATCTACAGTCCGTCATCATTTTTGGTGATGTAGCTGGCCCATGTGTTTGCCTGCCTGGTCTTGGCTGTAGGCATAATACCAGTTCTGGCCAGCCTGTGGTCTCTGGCCTTCCCGTGCACCGCTTCCGCCTGCGGTGTGGTGTGCCTCCTTCCTGTGTGTGTCAGAGGCAGTTTGGCCTGATTTATAGGCCCCTGACACACAGCGCTTTGGACCCCACCTCTGCTGCTGGAATGGCTATTCCATGTGTCGGTGGTGGATCCACCTGGGTGGTTCTCCACTGATGGGGGTCAGATGTGGTCCTGCTCACGAGCTCCAGGAGCTCTGGGGAACATGCCCTGCAGACAGTGTGGAGAGAAAGTGCTTCCACGCTTAGGAGGTTTTACTCCAGTTAAAGCAACATGCAGCAGGAGTTGCACATATGATCTGTACCTAATTTCCTACACCTATGCTTGCTCGTAACCCAAAATTAAATCAAAATGCAATTCAAAGAACATCGATCAAGGTTATGTTTTATTAGTGTAAAAGTTAAAGATGAACAAACTTTAATAAAAGTTGTCTTTAGGCGAAAACAGTCTGTTAAACCACAAAAGCACATTAAGATTAAATTGTTGGTCTTCATTAAATAAGACAAACCTATCTTCTGAAAATAGCTTCATTTAGAACTCACAGGTGAGTCAAAAAGCACATCTCCACTGATAGAAGTTAAGCATCTCCCATCCAATATCACACCTTCTTTTTGTAATTATAAACATGGTAAGGTAAAGACCGACTGCACTTGATTATCAACAGGTTTCACAGAGCTCTTCTGTACTTCTAAAGAAAAGAAAAAAAAAACAAACGTAAAAAATAACAGTTTTTTCAAGATTTCTCAAGTTCAACTATCACTTTGTGTAGAACATTTCGAGGAGTGGTTTAGCACTGACATCTCCGCACACACATTTGAGCAGTGTTAGCTCGGCTCACATAAGCAGCTGCAGCAGGTGAGTGGTTTCATGTGGTGAGAGACACCAAGATGGTGTCGCTGTAGGTGGAGTATAACAAATAGATGGTTGGATTTAGATACACAACGAGAACAATAACACCCAGTGTGCTGACCTGCGGCTGATCTCATAGGCAGATCTAGTATCCGGTGACGTGCAGTCCAGGCGACTTCTTTCTGTATATTCAGTGGTGAAGGTCTGATTTGATTAAGAATGTTTTACCATCAATTGTTATAAGTGATCAAGTCATTGTTTTTTGGGGAGTAGAACATGTGTAGACACTGCCTGCCTGAAAGGGGAAAGCCTAATTTATGGCTGACGTTAGTAGGGTTTAAAATACAAGTTATGATTTTAGGTTGAATTTTACATGAGGAAACTATTAAATCAGGAAAAGTGCTGCACTGTGGAATACTCTGAAATCAATGTATGGTCTTTCTAAATTGCAAATATTAAAAAGGGAGCTGTCAAGAGTCTTAGATTCAGCTGCATGGGTGGAAATGACTGTTCACTTCCTCACTAATGATGGTTCCTCCGTTTACCCCTGAAGCGCCGTCCCTCGCAGTCCCCCCTCCTCTGTGTGGCTCTCGCCGAGCCTCCGCTGTTTAAATGGGCCAAGTTGAGAAGCGGCGGAGAGTGCAAATCTTGTTTGGTCTGGGTCTGTGAACTTCAGCGTGACTTCAACGACATACACAGGGGTTAAAAACAACTCTCTCCAAACTTTCAACTCTATTCATTTTGCGCAAATATTACTCAGGGATATCAAGCCTGATGTGTTTGGCTTATGTTTCTGATTAATGCCATATGCCACATTAGTTTAATTATCCTAACAGGAGAAATGTATCAGTTTCTCTTTTAATGTCTATTGGCTGTGAAATTGAATCTTGGCCACGTGCAAACTCCCCATAACTGAGTCGACGTGTCTTGTTTTTTTTAAGATAGCCGACTTAAAAAAATAGCCTCTACTCAGTGAATATTAAAAAAATCTCTTACTTCTAATTTCCCCAAAGGCAAAGAAATAAGAGACATGACGTGTGGCTGCGACTGGTAATGATCACCGTAGGTAACATAATGTCCGGGGCTCAGGGCTGCCCAGCATGTCAGGTATTAACAGAGCGAGTGTGATTAAATGTGGGAGGTAGGATCTGTGAGGCTGGCGGAGAGCGCTGCTGCCGCTGCGAGCTGGAAACTACTGAATGGGCATCTATCCGGCAACTTCAACAGACCGCTGTCTCACGGCGACACGGGGGCTCTGCGTAAAACCAAGCGGCGCGTCTCCAAGTCTGGGTCAGCCCAACTCACAGACGGAGAGGACGCTCAAGTTGGATCGGGCGAGCAGCTTTTCACTTGTTATCGGCGCTCGGCTCCCTCTAACATGCCTGCCATCAAAAAGGAGAGGCTGGATGGAGACGACATGGCATTGACTGCTTTCAACCAGTCCGAATACCTGGCCCCTTTAAATGCCACCGCTATCCCCGTGGTGACCCCGCATCCGCCGCCCTACGACCACATTTTCGCCCATCACCGCGCGTACTTGGGGCTCCACGACTCGGCGCTGCATCACCAGCATCTCCACCATCACACGGACGACTTAATGCTGGAGAGGTTCTCCTCCATCCCCGACTTTCAGCCCTTCTTCGATAACGGAGAGCCGTGCATCGAGGTGGAGTGCGGGGAAAACAAGGCTTTGCTTTACATCAATAAACTGTGTCAAGGTAGTAAGGGACCTTCAATTAAATACAGGGGTGAGTGGCTCACCCCCAATGAGTTCCAGTTTGTCAGTGGACGAGAGACTGCCAAAGATTGGAAACGGAGTATTAGACACAAAGGTAAGAACAAGCTTCACTGTCCTCGCGGTTCACGCGTAGAGAGGGGCACTTTACCATTACCGAAACACTTTTTAGACGCCGCTTATTCTGGGTGCAAACTTGGGTCTCGTGGTTCGGTGCTGAGTTTTGGAGTGAAAGGGTTACAGCAGTCAGTGCGTAAGGAGACAGATGAGAAAGGGCGCATATCCTCCACATACACTCCGAGGCTTTGACACAGAGTTCGGGCTGCGATCGTTCACCAAACCGGGGCATCAGGAGTAGACTGCACCGGAACTGAGGTGAAAAGTTAGACATAATAATTTAATGTGCGACAGTTAAATAGTTATTTTTCCTCATGATGTGATGACTCGTTCCTTTTAGTGAGGCTGCACTTGTGCTTGGGTGTTGACACTTTTACGCATGCTACGTTAGGTTTGAGAGAGATTTTTTTCACTGAACTGTTTATTGTGATAATTTTGCAACAAATTCAAATTTTCAACAGAATATTAAACGTAGAGTCGCTATTATTCAGTTTTATAGGTGTTTGTTGATTTTTTTTTTTTATTCGACTCAACGCTGACAGCATGAATACAATGATGTAGTTCGGCACCCTGTTTCTTAATGTTGACATTTATTGCGCAGTATTTTTATGCAATAATTACGCGTGGCGTTAAGCGCACCCTCTAACCACACGCACACACACACGAAGTTTATTCAGGCAGAGCTGACACGACTGAAGATGTGTGGGGGGAGGGTGTCGCCCCCAGGTCAAGAATGATAGCCTCATAGTTTAATATAGAAGCGATTCCTATAAACAGATGACAGTAGGCTGCTGTCTCTCTGGCTCACCACACTGGACTATGGGTAGAATTAAAGTTCATGGCAAAAATCTAGAGTGATAAGTTTGTCTGCAGGTACTGACTCCTCTTGAGTTTTATACTGTGTTTTTGGATGATAAAAAAAAAGAATTTTGTCTTGAAAACTTTGAGTACTGAGATGATGGAGTGAAAAAACAGGCCTTTTCCTGAAGCATGTTGATAATACCTTTTCACATGCTGTGTCATAGAGGAGATGAATTTACTGGCTGGACAAGATGTATGGTCATACACATTCCCTGAAAGTCTCTCGTTTTTTTTTTTTTTTTTCTTCCAGGGAAAAGTCTCAAGACTCTCATGTCCAAAGGAATCTTACAGGTGCACCCTCCAATCTGTGATTGTCCTGGTTGTCGAATTTCATCTCCAGTGGTAAGAAAATTTCATCTTCTGTCATACTGGTGTTGCTGCTGCACTCCCTTTCTCTTGCTGTGTCAGTGTGATAAGCTACTTAGGAAATTTGGTTTTTATTTGAGTTGAAGACAACTTCTTTGCAGTGGATATGTAGAGTTAAAAGATGCTGGATTGTGAAGAATTCTCACTGGTGAAGGCTGTAACTTGTCAAAGAGCACTATGCGTCTCGACAGAGCTGAGATAAATTGATGTGTTACTAATATTTGGGTTAAAAGTCTGGATATTGTCTGGTATTGGTATGGTAATATCGTGATAAAGCCTAAAATTAGTATTTTATAATGAAGCAATACAGAAGCTTTTTTGATTGTTTTTTTCCCCAGTTAAAGTAATGGTGATGTTTGTTTTTTTTGTTTTTTTTTTGCAAAGACCAGATCACTGTTGATTTAGATTTATTTTAGCCTGTATGAGAGCAGGACTAGGCACACTGACATTTCATTGCCGTTTTTGTGTTGTGTCACTCAGCTCCACGTGTGTGTGTGTGTGTGTGTGTGTGTGTGTGTGTGTGTGTGTGTGTATGAGAGCATTGTCTCTCTTTGTAACCTTGATGGTGAAGACCCTACAGGCACACATGTCAACTTTGATGATAATTTTTCTCAGCATGAATACCAAATCCACTTTCAGCCTTTCACAGACGCAGAGTATCAGACAGCCTTTTATTCAGAGGCATTGAGCTGTCCAGTATGGCTACTTGATGTAAGGTGTTGTTGGTCGGGCTCTTCTGTCCCATTGAATCAGTTTCCTCACCTGGCTGTTGAACTTTTGTTTGCCTTGTGCTTCCCTCAGGGCTCGGCCAGGGGCATGATGCCAAACCTCGAGGCCTTGCAGGTGTGTCACGATTACGGCATCACCACTGTGTGTCTGTGTGTTCGTCTGTGTGTTTGTGTCAGCTTTGAGCAAGCACACTGCCGGCTCACCGTCGCCAAATCTGTTCACACAGGTGCGGCGGGTTGTGAGTGAGTGTGTGTGTGTGTGTGTGTGTGTGTGTGTGTGTGTGTGTGTGTGTGTGTGTGTGTGTGTGTGTGTGTGTGTGTGTGTTTTTCTCACCACAAAGCGCATCTGTCGTCGCTCCCAAGCACTAATCTTGAGGGAAGGGTGTAAGAGGCTTAGCGAGCTACTGAGCGTGGCTACTGCTGATTATTGTGTGCGAGGCACGCAAGGCAAAGGCGGTTTAGATAAGCCGGAGGTGTTTGAGTGATACAGGTAAACTGGTGACATTTTTCACAGCCAAGAATGAAGACCTGTACCCTAACACATAGGGTTCAGCCAAGACGAATTTCCTGAGGGAGGTTGGGGGCAGTGAAAACAGATAATAGAAATGCTCATGTCTTATTTTTTTACAGAAGGATTTGAGAATCTCAGCATGTTTACTTATGTTTAGGCTCATTACAGATATCAGAGTGATTGGCTTTTTGCTTGCAAGGGCTTGTACAGTTCCACTTCAATTATAGCTGTGACGGAGTAAAACTTAGTTATTGACGTAAGCAGGGATATGAGAGCCTTAAGGTTGTTGTTGTAGCCTTTCTCTCCCGTTCCTTGTCTGGTGTTGAAGCCTGAAGTGCAACCCACCAAGTGAATACCACCGTGACACACATAAGCACACACATCCACACACACAGGCTAAGTATGTTGGCAGTTCTGTGCGAGGCGGTGAGGGTTAGGCGGAGGAGGAAAGGCAGTGGGACTTGTATGGCCTGTATTGGCGTCTCCCTCTCTCCCCACTGACTCCCCTCAGGGCATGGCAGCCAGCACTCCCTCACTGATGAGCTCTCTCTCTCTCTCTCGCTCACTCTCTCACTCTTACACACACACACACACACACACACACAAACACACATGCTATATGCCTGCCTACTGACACAAATTACCTCATGCAGACATTTATTTTGAAAGTTTGACGGCTGAACTTTGAGTGATCTTGTTTCGCTATAGGCATGAGGCGAGCGATCATAAAAAAGTGCAGCAGCTGGTGGGAAGACATTTCACCTGCCTGCTCAAAACCCGTGGAAGTTAATTTGCTGTGTCGGCCCAGGCACAAGCTGTTTATAACGACATGACACAAACTGAACTGTTGTTACACTCAACAGTTTACAATTTGAATATGATCATGATCATAACGATGTTTTTCCACACTCTGAAATTAAATCAGGTTGTGACTGACACACTGTTGATGACAGCTGTCATGGCGTGTTACCTTTCTATTAAGCCTGTCATTATGTGATAATCAGGTGCTTATGATTTCTCTGTCGTGGCAGCTTTAACTCTGAGGAAAGTTGCTAGGTGCTGCTCTTTCTGTGTGTGTAGGTGTGTATGTATCATATCTTTTTCATGTATACAATATAATGCTCAAGATTATGTGCATACATGTTGAACTAAATTCTCAGCTCTGTATGTTTGTGTTTTCATGTGTGCATACATATGTGTTAGTTTGTGTCTGTGTTTTTCTGTGTGCATGTCTGTGATTATTTGTCATCGTGACGGCTGGCTGACTTGCCTGCCTGCTGTGTGTTCGTGTGTGTGTGTGTGTGTGTGTGTGTGTGTGTGTGTGCGTGTGTGTGTCTCCTCCCAGGAGAGCTGGGCTTCCTCTGCTCTGTTATTTCAGCGGAACTGGCGGAGGCCGGGAGGAAATTACACTCCCCTCCTCCGGCTCGTAAAGACCTCCTCCAATCAAAGGCTGCTCTTGCAAAGTGGAATTAAACACACACACACATACACACACACGCACACACACACGCAAACAAAACACAGGCATACACACTTTAGCATACAACTGGATGTTGCCTTCATAGATCAACTTCCTACTGTACACTGCTTCTGTTGTATGTGTTGTGTGTTTGTGCGTGTGCTTGCATGCATGTTGCTCAGGCTACGTTGCTATGGTAACACTGGAATCGGTCATTGGCCCAGAAGTGTGCAGAACTGTGATCATGTGGAGTGTATTTGTGCACTTTTGTGTGCGTCTCTCTGTGTATTGGACAAATTAGGGATTAAGTGAGCCTCTGATGAGCTGTCCGCTCACTGATAGACATCAATACCAACTGGAATGTGTGTCAGACATATAGAAATTCAGTTTGCATGAAGAGGTTGCATCCATATACTTATCTCTTGTCGTCTGTCTGTCTAATTGAATTCAATAATTCAGTTAAAATAAAGTTTCCTTTAGCAGATAGCAATTAGCTTCCACTAGTGTCCATTTCAGCATGCCAGAGATTGATAGAAAGCTGAATGTGTATGTGTTGGCTTGTACATATGTACACATAGTGTATTGGCTTCCCAAAGTGTTGCACATATATATGTATGTGTGTATGGGTGCGGACCCGGACAAAAGGCAGCTAAAATAAGTTTGAGCATCTGTCTGTCAGCCAAATGTGGTTTATCACAGCAAAGCCAATGGTGATATTTCTAAAAACCCTCCTCCCAACATCTGGGTTGTGTGTGTGTGTGTGTGTGTGTGTGTGTGTGTGTGTGTGTGTGTGTGTGTGTGTGTGTGTGCGTGTGCGTGTGCGTGTGCGTGTGCGTGCATGCTTGCGTTTCTTTTTTTTCGCCATGTGATTTCCTCTGATAGTTACAGGCTCGCCCTTTTACATCAGGCCTTTGCAGACAGTACTGTACTGTCATAGTCCTATCATACATTCATAAATACACATAGACAAGTACACATGCAGTGTATATAAGCCCAGAAATACTAGGAAGTGAAATTCATCAATGGCGGGAAATTATATGTTCAGTGTTCAGCTATTATCACACTTTGTCAGCGATGTAGTTGTAAGAAAGTAGAGAAGTTCTGAGTTTGCTGATCGTTATAATCTGCATCTACTTTATATGTAAACCAAGGTAAACATACAGAATATATTTTTTTTGCTTTTGTAACTTGTTTTGTTTAATACTAATAATGTACCAAAAAGTAAGTATGAGAAAGATTTAAGACTTATGAAGCCCAAACTGTCGGCTAACTTATTTTTCCCACATGAACAAGGGTCATCTGAGTTTTCTTATCTTTACCTTCCTTCATTTCATGAAGGAAGGTAAAGCTCACCAAGGAGTATATGTAGTTAACGGTCCTGGTGTATTTTAAGTGTGCCAAACTTTAAATGAGGATCAAATTTTAGTCTTGTGGGGACCAAAACAACAGAAAACATGAGTTCGGTTTACCAAACACAACTTTGTGCTTGCCTGCACTTCCCCTGTGTTTGCCAGGGGAGAGAAAGACCCAGGCGTTACCTGTCTGTAAAGCTCCCCTGTGGCGGCCTCGGTGAGCCTATCCAAACACTGAGAGAGACACACAGAGAGAATATGGGAGGAGGAAGGGGAGAGAGAGAAACAAGAGGGAAAGGGGAGAGCGAGAGGCACACTGGCATGCTTGACTGCACCGCCACTGACCTCCCAGCGCTGCCCTAGCAGCCCCCCCACTCCCTCCCGCCCTGTTTCCCCTCCACATCACCGCCTCTCGCCCTCTGTGCACCTCACCCCCCTCCCCTTCCTGCTCCCCCCACCCCCCCCTCCTTGCCCTGTGCCGCTCCACTGGGCTGCAACTGCCCGCTCGACTCAGCGCGTGGGGGCCGAGGGTGCAGGAGAGTGTGTGTGTCTGTATGTGTGTGCGAGCGTGTGCGTGTGTGTGCGGGGAGAGGCGGGGGACTTGGTCGCATGCCTGTCCGCCCTCCAGTGCTTTCTCACTTTTTTTTCCTCCTTCTCTCACACGGCCTTGAACAACCAAGTGTTGCCTAAAGTCTGTACATGAAACACACACACACACACGCACACACACACACACACACACACACACACACACACACACATTTAGAAACAGATCAGATTTTTTTTGCCAGTACATTTTCACTTATAAGGAGTTCTACTTGATAAGGTGTCATCTTTTGAGATGCTCATCTTTTGAGAAATGAAAGATCAGATTCGTTGAGCCGCATCTGTTGACAATACAGATACTGTCTGATTTTATCCTTTCA